ATATATATAATGGATAAGATTTTTTTCAGATTGTACGACATTTAGGAGAACTTAACCACCCATGGGTGAGTTTTATTTGTTTCGAGTTCCTTTTTAAGCTCAAATTACTGAATTTGTTTCGAGGTTATCTCGAAGAGGGAATAATTGTGTGATTCTTTCGAGCGTTGAACATTTCTGGATGAGTTAGTTAAGAGTGTTCTTCTTCATGAAGTAGATTGCGCATTACAAGGTGGCTGACATAAAATTATCCAAAAGAATGCGGTCATTGAAGAAATATGGTTTTGTAAACAAGGAATAATTAATCATGCATCCACCGACCAATTCAACAGATTTGTTTCAGAATTGTCCACATGGACGGCCAACGTTGAGGCATCTTTGTTCATTATCAACAAATAATAGCCCCGAACAAACTGTGCATAATCCAGAAACTCATTCCTTGTAGTATTGACTCAAAATGACATCGATGTTGTACTAATTGTAAATATATTTCTACCCTTCTCGATCTCCATCAAACATCAGTGTTGAAAAGCCTCCTTACTGGTATTACTAACTGCAATAGTTCAATCATATACAGAAAGATAACCTTGATTATCGTCGTCATCATAATAATTTATCTGGTTGTATGCATTTTCCTAGTGACAATTCAAGTTTCTTGAATCAGCGTGGAATCCTGGTTCTTATTACGTGCCCAAATTTAATTTGTGAATCCAGTTATGACTTGAAGCGTTGAAAATGTCTTGAGAAACGTTTCATGCTTTGTTATAATTGTTCAGTTTGGTTTTTTTATATTCTGTTAACGGTATTAGATTTGTTTCTTATCATTTATTACACTTCCGTTTACGCATTCATCAAATCATTTAGGACGAAATTCAAGAATGTTGAATCGAATTTTTTATCTTATGATACAAATGAATGTTTATTATATTACTTTACATTACATTATAATGAAAGAACAATGCCCGTTTTTGATAGGTGCAACCTATTCAATAAACGAGTGGTAAATACAAAAACTATTCACGTAATTGATTGATCGATTAAATAAATAACTGATCGATTGTTCATCCGATCATTTTTTAATTGAGGATTCATAATGGATATGTGGATGCTTTTTTTGTACCAAAAAAGGGTTTTCTTTTGTGATGAAATTGAAATTCCATGATTTCATGTTGCTCATCAAAGAAAAATACAGTCGATGGAGTTGCAGCTAGTGACGTGACTTCGTGACGGGTTGTGCCTAGTGCGAGGGTAGTGATGTGCTACAAATCCAATTGTGAAGTGGAATCGCTATAAATCCAGCAATCACGATACCAATCGAATCACCTAGAGAAGAAATTGATAACGAGTATTCACGTACATCCGGTGGCATCTGAAAACAATCACAGTGTTGTTCAAGAATTCAGAACTAACTAATAAGTGTTGGCGATCGAAGCGAATTGTTGGAATCCAATGTCATCATTCTTGACTTGACTGATAATGCTAGCACGGTGATGGTGCTGATTATAAGTGTAATTTACGTTGGAAATTCATTCAAACAATAAAGCGAGTGGAAACAACAAAATGAAGTAGTTGCTTATTTGCTAAGACAGTCCACTGATAGCTGCTGTGGTCAGGAAAAGAAGCGAGTTGCAAGGCTCAGGCTTTTAGCTATTCAGTGCAAGCGATGTTCGATCGGCAAGCACTTTACCCTAAACTATCTCCTTTGCAACTAGTAAGCCTTAATTAAGAAATTAAGGTCAAAGTTGAAACAAAACATACAGATCTGTGAATGTGGTCGAATGTGTTCACATACGACGTTCCACCAAATAGACCTTCGAAGAGGATTAATGCAAAGATAATACCAATGTGTGGAATAAAGAAGTACAATGAATCGAGCAAGAACAAGACCGCATTCAGTAGCTGAAAATGAATGAAAATTTTCATTACGAGGTAAAAACCGTCTTTTTTTTCCGTTTGTGCCTTTAAAAATGGCTACGCACTGCATTTTCTCAGCAAAAAATGATCACTGAGGGAAGAGAGGGAGATCGAATAAAGGGGTCTTACGTACCTGTAAAACAGCGATAAGAACGAGAGCCCAGTGCGGTAATCGGAAGACATTGATTGATGAACGCGAAATGAACACACCTAGTTGATAAATCACCTGAACGATTTCAGTGATTGCTCATTGGTTGCGATTTTGAAGTTAAAAGCAAAAATGTTCAAACAAACCTGATACCATCGATACTGGCTGGATCTAGAGAGAGCAAAGCCATGTGAGCAGTTGAATATGATCAGTTGCACGATGCCTTGATTAATGAGGTACTCACCGAGGTAAACGACAGTCAGTGGAAGCATAAACTTCAGCAATGGCTGCAAGCAATCTTCTTTCGTTCATATTATGGTACTTTCATTTAAATTGATGGTGAACCACAATTACAGTAACCTATCGTGAAACAGTACATATATACAGCAATTTATAACTATACATAAAAAAGACAATGAACAGCATGTGGTCCTGAAAATGAAACAAACATAAAAAAGGGAGAAGGTATAACAAACGAGCAAAGAATTGAAAGTTATTAGAAGTGTTGAAAATTCTTACGATAATGAGAAGAAATTTTTGCTTAACGCTGAGAGACCTTTGCTTAATTTTACCCTCTCGAATATCCATCGTATATCCACGTGTTTTCGAGTCATTGTTTTGCCGGTCTTCATCATTATTCTGCTCATTCACACGCTCGTCATCTACTTTCACGTCCGAACCATTCTCTATTTTGCATGATTCAACGCTACTGCTCAGATCACTCACAGTTCGTTTGCTGTGTAACGTTGATCGTCGCTTACTCAAGTATGTTTCTGGCACAATCCACGTTCGAGGATCGAACACATTCACTTGATAAATTGCTTTCGGAATATTCAGCAGACAGTAGTATCTGAATAATATCTGATTACTGCTTATCCAATCTGATTCAAATTCAACTAGATTGCAATTAGAAGTCAATCAAAATTTATATCTATATCTTAATCATTCTTCTTCTTCAGTCGGCCGAATTTTTGCTTTCAAGAAGTGCAAATATGAAAATAGCGAGCCAGCCGGCCTAATGCGTTTGCGAGACAGGCGTATAGGTCAGACTTCAACTCTGGTTACCAGGTATTATACTCACTTCCCCGCAAGCCTTCACCATCATATTCATGTCAGATCGGTCGTCGAAACGATGCCAGTGAACATGAAGCTGATACAATCAATCGTTCAGATCGAAAATTCATATCATCAAAGACAGATGCATTTGTTTTGTAATGCAATCAGCACTGATTCAATAATTCACTAAATATTCTTCCTCACACACATAGATATGTGCAGGAATTTTTTCGATTTCCGAAATTTCTATTATCCCAGCCCAGAAGACCATGCCTTTTGGACTAAAAACAACGTGTGCAAAATTTCGCTTCAAGATGACTACTTTGAAAGGTAATTGGCTCAGGTCAGTTCATGTCTGAGGAGCCTAACTGCAAAAATGAAATAGTGCGACCTTTCAATCTGATTTTTGGGTGAACTTTTACTGAGATTGTTTGCAGTCAGATTTTGGAAGATGACACCAAGAAAATCACAGAAATTCTGTTTCCGCACACTACGGCGCCTGAGGCAAAAAATTAAACCAGCGACCTTTGAAATTAATTGTTTGGAGCAAAATTTCGATTTGGTTGTTTTTAGAACAGAAGACTTATTATTGTGAGCTGGAAGTTGCACTATCCAGGGTTTCATTTTTTTCTGTACAAAATTTTGTCACGCTTAATGTATATGCGGGTAAGTGTGAGCTGTTTTCCAAAGCCACAAGCAGATGGCACTGTTGCTGTACTACACTTTGCAAGATTTCAGTCGGTCGCTTACCACTATGAAGTCATTATTTTGTGCTATAAAACAGAAAATGAGCTTAAATTACTTACGTCAGAGCAAAGATTACAGGTATGACAAGCATAACCAGCACTGTGTTTGTGGGCGATAGATTTGCAAGTTTTGGTTCTGTTAAGCCAGCATACGCCAACGCACCTATAATACCAGCTCCACCAGTGCCAGACGACCAAGCCGATATCGTATTCCTGATACATATGCTAACGATTAGTTGTCTTTTGCAATGTTCCCAATCAAGATACACTTCACCGGTTTGAAAATAAGGAAAACATAAGTCAGTCGTAGTATTTACTCAAAACTGATAAACATAACAGTGTGTAATGAACCTTACCGGCCGAAGAACGGTGTAAACGAAAGATAAGTTATTTCACCGAGACCTGAACCAAAACTAGCGACAGCAACACCTGAATTATGCATACTTCCTTTAATTGTTCAATCCTACTCAGCAATAAAGTCCCTATATCATGCTGAATCGTAGATTCGAATCCTAGCTGTGAATATTCTAAATGAATGTACTCAAATTAGAAGCTGATCGCATCTTAGCCGAACGGTAAATTCATTCCAACTCCTAATAATCACTCAACATGTGAGAGGCGAAGCATGTCACTAACGATCGCTCACAATTTACCTAACACTCACAAAACTTTACTTGACCAACCAACCTTCGGCCAAAAAAGAAATTGCTTGTGGTTAGTTATAATAAGAGTGAGTTTGAGTTTGTCTGAGCGTCGCACACTTCCACGATGCCCAGTTTACATTACCCCTGAATATCTCAACCATCAATCAAACATTTCTTTGTATCAAAATAATTCCTCCAACTTCCCCATCTAATCGTATCCATTTTTATCATTCTCTATCACATGCTTCCTCCATCTCACGCCACAAATTCATCATAATACATTTACTAAATAATCATCCAGCATCAGTAAAAACATCCGAATTTTTCATTCGACCTGTCGATTTTAAATCTTAGCAGCAGTCTCTGGATACGTCATGCTTCTACACTAACTTCTTAATAATGAAATTACCCTCAAAATGACCATAAAAGATTTCACTTGTTTCAGATGGATGATGATACTTAAGTGTAAATGAGTTAAAAATTAGATGAATGTAATCATCATCGTCATCAAATTAGAACACATACCAAAAAGTGACATTGTGACGTCAACTGAGAATGCAACGATTATAAAACTTGCTGCTTGTATTAGGCAAATGGCCATATGTCGAATGCTAAAAGTAAATCGTTGTCGTAATTGCTTATTGTGATATGCATTAAATATGTATGGAATGCTTGTATATTTGAATAGATCATCCGTGAAGTGAGTACTTCGGAGCATCCTATCGATGTTTCTACATTCTTTTGCATTCGCTAAGAATACCAACTCAACCGAAATTACTGACGAATTTTAGCTAAAGAATGGAATTTTATAGAGGCTATGGAGTGTTTATTCCACGCCAAAATCATGCACTACTCAGTTTTGAAGAATGTTTCTTTTGTTTTCTGGAAAAGCGTGAAACGGGTATAGATAGAAGGTACGAACCCGAAAGGGATTCGTTGCATGAACAATGGAAATGTCAATTTGACAAATAATGTTGGTAGTACATCTGCAAGTAGGACAGTTCCAGTCGATAGTGGTGTACAATGTCGTGATGTCAGCGAGTCCTGAAAGTCGATTGTTGCTCAGTTTTGTGGAAATTGCTGACGAATTTTAGCCAAAGTAATTCTCATGTTTTAGCCGAAGTTCACATTTTTTCATTCCTTTACGAGGTTCGATTGATAGAAGTGTTCTTGAATTTCCCGTTGAAATTGACTGTATCAATGAAGTAATTCTCAAGAAAAAATCAAGTTATTATTATTCAATTCCCATCACTACTTTAAAAGTGATGATAATAGTACAATGAATGTTTGATCGCCGTTATATTCCACATTCCTTTCCATTTGAACGCAGCAAATATTTTATCAATCAGACACACTGATTAGATTAAATAATAAAGAACGATGACCAGGCCAATTTGATACGGTAGAAATGCAATTGCTATGCTCAATGGAATGATGACCTATCTCTCTCATCTCGGACAAGTGCACTCTCTTATCTAATGCTCTTTATCTTATTCCGTGCAGTTGTAGGTTTCGTTCGTCTGTACTCACAGCTTGGTGCAAATAAAGATGGAGAACTTATTTATTGGCATTTGATAAGCTAGCAATATGAAATGACGACTTCACCTCACATGTATCAACAGCACGCGTTGTATTAACATGCTCTTGTTTGTTCAGAATATCTTCGGCAGCACTTAGCATGATAACATAAGCATAATTATTGCATAAACCAAATATCCTGAAATAATACTAGCAATGATCATAATGATAACAATGCTCATCATAATAGAAATAATAATAATAATAATGATATTAATAGTCAGTTGATAAGCGTGATCAATTTTTATTATTTTCAAGCATGTACCAGAAACCAATCAGTGTTTTGAGTGTTGGCCAATCCATAGCTTGCTCAAACCTGCAAACAAAATTAACAATGACTGTTTACTTCGTCACTAGTCAACTGCTCCATTAACAGAACATGAATGAAAGGAACTTTTGCTTTCGAATGCAAATATTTGCATTCGAAAGCAACCAACCCGAAACGCTCATGTTCCCTTCATTTAGGCATACTTGGATACCATAATATGAACTAATTGTTGCAGTCTTGTTCATATGCTTCTGATGTCATCAAAAAGCAGCTCTTATGAGGCATTTGAAAGCAGCTCATTCTTGCTTATTTGTTTTCAATTTACCGTTTGACCTATATTGACGGCACTTCTTTGGTTTTTCATAATAAGCATATTCATAGGTCAGTTTGTATTAGTAATGAGATTGCTAAAATTATACTCATATAAGAGCAATCATTTCGAAGCGGGCGTGAATTTCTCGAATAACTATCATCGTTTAGTGATATAACGGTGATTGTCACACTTTTGCTCCGCTTGTCCCCACCCCACCCGTTTCTGGTCATACGCAAGAAATTGCAATTGTCCTCCATCCAACAGTCCACATCACTACAATTCTTCCCTCCTGTGACAATCTGTTACGCCTTAGTCACAAGTTATAAGAAAATAAGGATATTCATCTCCTGGTCAAAAAGTTGGCTGGCCAATTGTATCAAAACAATCGATTTTCTGTGATTGAAAAAAGATTTTGAAAATAACGTGCACAACAATGGAAGAAGAATATTGCAAAAAATCATCAAACAACAATGATTTGCCATTATGCTCAATTCGCCTCTGACACTCTCAAATTCCCCTTCAGAAGCGATTTCCACCCTTCCATGAGAACTGTTGTTCTATATAAAGGTAATTGCTCATTTAATATGGACAGCAAAATATATGCATGTTGTTTCCTTCACGAGAGAATGCCAATTCAGTAGGTTTTCTACCCTAAAGAGTAAGCTTATAAGGAACAGCACACTTATCGGGTAGTTTTAATAGACAATATAGTGAAGATGGCCAAAAAAGGACTACAATTTTAAGGTAAACATTCGATTTACTTGAATGAAATACGATACTCATTTAGCAGTAACGAAATGTTGTTTAAATAGATTTGAAGTAATTCAAAAATGAAAAAAAACGCGAAAGATTTAATCAGGAAATATGCGTTATGGGCGTTGATTGGCCGTTGAGATTGCTTGATCAAATTTTTGAAAATTAGAAAATACGTCACACAGTGCAGCAACGACGAACAACTAGACTGAGTATCGTTATCATCGTGATAACCATCAATACAACTGAGAGAGACAGACGTTTGTAAAGCATTCCAGTA